TTTACATTGAATTGCTTACATACATTGCATTTACAGAGATATATTTTAAAACACTTAGCCTTTCAAGTTTTTATTATTAGCCATAAGAAGACACTTTCTGTCGTAATTTTAAATTTCACGAGAAGAAAATTAATGACAATTTTGAAAAGTATTTTTTTTTTATTATTTATAATCATTATTATTTTTTGAGGTTTTATACACACATATATTTGATGTTCTAGTTTCTATAAAAAACGACAATGGTAACTACTGAAATTAAACATAAGGAATAAATACACTTCTAAGACACATGTCGAGACCAAACATGCACATTAAAAAAAATTTGGGTTAAGAAGCATGAACCTAAGCAAAGATTACTGAACTGTTAGGCAATATCAGTTCTCTATGTCAGTGATTGTTAGAAAATCTCTTCTTAGATGAAAAAGAGGTGTGAGGTAACGAACGCTTAGGTCTGCAGAAGGTTGTTGTGAACACAATGGACTGAATATGTGATTGACAAGTAAGTTTTAATGAAAATAGAAACAAAATACACGTTCATACGTACATCCAGAAAAACAATTTCAAGTAAATAATGAAAAAAAAAGTTTGTAGAAAATCTGACGCTCGCATGACTTACTGAAGAAAATGGAGACAAAAGAAAGTAGCCAGTGACCTACATAACAAGCTCGGATATATGGGTGTCAGAATTGAGAAAGATAACGAATAGAGAAAAATTACTAAGAGTTAGAGCGAACTGGAAGATGTGTTCAGTCTTGATCAACCAGGTATTGAAAGGACACGGAATATACGAGGAAAAAGAATAGAAGAAGAAATCTTCTAACTAAAAAAAATACCGTAGAATAAGTTAAGGTTAATGATTAGAGAAAAAATCTAAGAAAAAAAAAAAACGCCACATAGATTGTTGTAAATAAATCTTATTTCTGAAATAAGACGTATTTGATAAGGTCAGTTGAGTGGCATACAGAATGAAAAGAAAAGCGCGGCGGTGTCTTTTAATTGGCCTGAGAATTGCTGAATCAGCATTTAGCAAGAAGACTGCTTAAAAAGAAGTTTCTCCTGTCAGAATTCTTCAACGACAATTTTCATCAACAGGAACTTAGATCTGCAAATGCTAAGATTGGTAAATCTCTCTTACTCACTCCTCCCTTCCATCATTGCTGAGTAATTGGCAACAAATTCTATAGTGGGGACAATAAAAATAGCCAGTACAACTCATATGCATTGTCCTATTTAATACTACATATACAAACTTAATCTAATTTTTACCAATAGACGGAAACAGTGCAAACTTGTCGTGATGGTCTGAAGACAGCATTGGTGACTAATGCAGCGACACAAACACTCGACCAAATACAGTATAACGGATGTTGTCGTCAAACTCAATTTTGAACCATATAGTTAATGATATATGATGCCGTGACTATGTCACACCGGGTTTTATTTATTCATTGAAGCAGCTGGTGACGAACCCAAAGAAAATGATTTTAGACACTTTTCAAAAACTGATTGTTGCTATGTGTTCGTGTTCCCAAGAAATTTATGTAAAGGGAGTGTAACTCACTTTTTTCCTAAAGTAGGATACGGTAAATAACAGGATTATTTCGTCATGTTTATTCGTTCATTGCAAATCCACACCTTGTAATATTTTGGAATTTTCAATTTCAGGCATATTTAAATCTGAAAAGGCTGCAACAGAAGAAAGAGAAATCTGTCAAATATTCGTTATCAATACTCGCAATATATTTCAAAAAGAAACTGAAAGATATTAAGAAACTAGATTAATGTACACACCCTTTCCCCGAGGGCTACGACTAAAGCGTTATTTGTTATTATTTGATTACCAGTCCCACTGCATTTTGCCAATGACCCGAAGCAACTTTCCTGTCAGTAGGAATTTAAAAAGAAAAACAACTGTATTCTTCCAGGGCGATATAAAATCAACCCCGAAGCTCCAGCATTTGGTTGGATACTTACAAAAGTTGGACATATACCTGTCTAGCTTTTGGATTTATTAGACATCATATAGTTGCTTTTTGACTACAGTGTACACAGGACAGATCAACATTCTTGAGTCTAGTCTAAATCAGAATTATGTCTATTTTTTTCACTCCTATCCAAACCGCAATAGATTTGCCTTTACGACACTAGTGTAAATCTGACCTGTGTCTACATTTTGTTTTAAGTGGAAACCAAACATGTTTACGATTTTGACTCAAGTGCACTAGTGCCCAAGTTGTACGAGGGTGAGCTGAAAAGTTCATAGGCTGACTATAAATGAATGAGGCTAGAGCTGCGAAAACCTGCAAGAATCCATTTTAACTCTTCTTATTAATAGCTGCATAGTAAACTGACATTTGAATGTTCAACAAAGACTTCATCACTAACAGTTAACGACTTGACTTGAAAATGGACAAAAGTTGGCATTGTAGTGTTTTCATGTACCTGCAGAAAAAAAGGTTTAGCTTCGAAGGACATTCCTGCTCACATGGTTGCTATATTAGTGGATGACGGGTCAACATTATCACCAGTGCAAATGGGGGCTGCTCAATATAGGAGGGGAAGTATTAAAGAGAGCCACATTAGTGAATGTACCGCATGTGCTACTATTGAGGGAAACATTGGTTCTGTCCACCACATGGTGATGGATGACAGTCAACTGATTATAATTCAAATTGCTGATGCTATTACGATATGCCGTACAACAGATGAGAACATTCTGCTCAATGGACTTAGCATGATGAAGGTATCTGCTCTGTGCGTGCCACGTCTTCTGACACCAGGTCAAAAGCGCACCAACTGATGACATCACGGGAATATCTGAGGCAGACACAGCCGGTTTTCTTGACTGTTTCCTAGCTCTTGCTTAGTGTTGGGTTCACACTTGGCATGACCAAGATTTCTTTTCTGTGGCAAGCGCACGAGCTGATTACATCCCGGGAATATCTGACATTGTTTGAGGCAGATCCATCTCGTTTCCTTGACCGTTTCCATGCTCTTGCATAGTGTTGGGTTCACACTTGGCATGACGAAGATTTTTATCCAGTGTTCGCCATGTCTTCAAACACCTGGTTAAAAACTTTGTAACTTAATATAATGTGTTGTAGAATAGGACTCGGCGTACTTCCTTCTCTTACCTACTACTGTGACAATGAGCATCTCCGACTTATTAACATTGCAAATAACCACATTAAATTAGGCTCCTTGGAATAGTTTATTTATACAGTTTTTCTTTTCGTTCTATATATGAGTTTTTTTTAATAAACCTCTTCTTTGTTATTCCTACATTGTCATCTCTTATTCGATATTCTCTCTGATATGTCCATTCTAATTCTCGGCTGTTTTGAAAACAGTAGAACAATGACCTATATAAAGTTCTCTGTGAATTTCTCGGATTAGGAATTACCGTTTTCTCACATACGTTTTATTGTCCTCATCATTATTCTTATTATTATAACGTCCCCATTATTGTACTTAAAGTCATTCTTCGGGTGTCTATCGATCCGGCTACTCTTCAAGCAATTTAAAAATGATTTTTTTTTTGTTTGCTAGTCCCATTTTAAGTGATTCTAAAATTCGAATAGTTAATAAGAGTGATTCCAGCTTTGATTTAATGAGTGGAACCCAGAAAGGAACTTGGCAAGTTTTCTGTTAAAAGCGAACATGGCGTTAAAGTCTTCAATGTGCTTAACAACTGCATGTAATGGAAATCAGCTATTGACAGTGCTAGAATAAAGAAAATCTGAATTCCATGGAGTGTCTGTAAATTCCCCAGCTATTTTGCTTACCAATACTATCCAGCCATTAAGTCCGAGGCAGAATGTAAGTTTAAGTGTTAGGGAAGAGGAAACCTTCTACCTAAAAAAAAATAGCGTAGAATAAGTTAAGTTTAATGATTAGGGGGAAAATCTAACAAAAATAAAAAAAAGCCACATAGATTGGTGTATATAAATATTATTTCTGAAATAAGATGTATTTGTAAGGTCAGCTGAGAGCCATAAGAAATGAAAAAGAAGGACGTGACGGTTGCATTTCATTGGCCTGAGAATTGCTGGATCAGCATTTAGCAAGAAGACAAGAAGGCTGGTTAAAAAGAAGTTTCTCCTGACAGAATAATTCAACGAGAAATTTCACCTAGCATGAACTTAGTCCTGTAAATGCTAGGATTAGTAATCTCTCTTACTCATTTCTCCCTTTCTATCATTGCCATGTAGCTGGCAACAAATTCTATAGTGGGGACAATAAAAGTGGCCAAAACATATCATATGCATTGTCCTGAACACAGGAATTCTACGTTCCTAAATTCACGAATCAGCCCGCGGGTACTAATATGAGTGGCAAGATTGTAGTGTTGTAACCTAAGCATTCGAGAAATTGTTTTCAGTTTAGATTCGAACACTGACGGTCCATGTTGTCGGGTAAAACGCTTTTATCCTAGCCACGATGTCGTTTTCAGAAGGGTAGAGGGTCATAGGTTGTTGTTTATTTATTCATTAAATCTTCATCAACTATCCGCACTGACCCTTATGGCTATCGGGGAAATCAGATGCAGATCTTTTTATCAAATGTTAATATCATTCACTGCCTCTGAAATCAACCACTCTATTTGACCATCACGCATATCTGACGATATTGTTTTCTCCGTCTCTCACGCGATCATTTTGTTGAGATCTTTTTCTATATTTTTTGGGCTTTCTAACTGAGTCATCTGCTTGTTTATTATAGAAAATGGATTTTTCTTTTTGTTCTGACTGTTTAGCCAGATCTGATAACAAATCAGATGGGCACTTGGAAAATTGGCTTAAATCAATGGAATCTAAATCGCTATGCACATACTGTAAAGATGGCCGATAGGAATCTCTCGCGTGAAACAGTCAACAATGTCAGTATTTATTTGTTGCATCATTACTTATAACTTTTGGATTTGATAACAATGTTATTTCAATGAATCGTTTCTTTTATTTTTAAGAGACAATGCGCATTAAAATATGTGTGAGTATGACAGAGGGGAAATGGATGGCATAGAATGAGATAGATAGATAGATAGATAGATAGATGAATGAATAGATAGATAAAAAAAAATGAGATAGAAAGATAAGAACAGACAGAGATATATAGGATGACAGACTGAGATAGATAGATATGATTAGAACGATACGGACAGAGACATATAGGAACAGACTAGATAGATAGATAGATAGATAGATAGATAGGAACAGAATGAGATACAAAGATAAGAACAGACTAAGATAGATAGATAGATAGATAGATAGATAGATAGATAGATACGAAAAGAATTAGAACGATACGGAAAGAGACATATACGAACAGACTGAGATAGATAGATAGATAGATAGATAGATAGATAGATAGATACGAACATAATGAGATAGAAAGATAAGAACAGACTGATAGATAGATAGATAGATAGATAGATAGATAGATAAGAACAGAATTAGAACGATACCAACAGAGACAGATACGAACAGACCAAGATAGATAGATAGATAGATACGAACAGAAGTAAATAGAATAAGAATTGAGATACATACGAACAGACTGAGATAGATTCATATATATATATATATATATATATATATATATATAGATAGATAGATAGATAGATAGATAGATAGATAGATAGATGCGAATAGACTGCGCTAGATAGATACAAATTGACTCAGCTAGCTAGCTAGACAGATGCGTAGATAGACAGATATACAGAAACAGACAGACAGGCATATGATGATAAATGCTATAGAGAGATGTAAATTCTTAAATAGGTCGATAGATAGATAGAGTGTCCGACTGACAGTCAATGTGGATAAATACATAAATACAGATAGATAAATAGATAGATAAATATATAGTAATTTTAATGTATTTTTTCCAACGTTATTTTTCATTTATGCAAATATTACTTCAAGTGTGTACACACTTGTGTTACTATTGATAAGTTGTAAAATTATTCTTCCTTACTTTTCGGGTACAATGATGAACTAGCAATTCGCAATATATATATATATATATATATATATATATATATATATATATATATATATATATATATATATATATTTAAATTTTATCATGTATACACCCCGTGCAAATTTAGTTTTCAGATGAACGGAACAAAAAAATTGTCTTAGAAAAAAAAAAAAAAAAAATTTACGATGACATTGTGCTATTATCGATATTACTTGCAATGAAATAAATATTCATCAAAATGGAAATTTTCTTCCTTCCTTTAAAACTGTTTCTAAGAAACTTGTCTGTAAATATGAGAGGATCCTATTGAAAATAATTAGACAAAACGTGTCTAAATTATTTAATGAGATGATTGAATATATATATATATATATATATATATATATATATATATATATATATATAGATAGAGAGAGGGAGAGGGGAGAGGGAGAGGGAGAGGGGAGGAGAGAGAGGGAGAGAGATGTGGCAGACAGACAGACAGAAAGACCGACAGAGATAGAACCAGACAGACAGAAGGATATGAATAAATCACAGAAAAAGCCTGATTTATTTAATCTTTCTCCAATATATATATATATATATATATATATATATATATATATATATATATATATATATATATATATATATATATATATATATATATTTAAGACAGTAAACAATAGAATAAGGCTTTTTATAGAACAAAGAAAGTAGGATCTGTAAATAAACTCAGTTCACAAAAAAAAATTTCCGACAATTGTTAGACGAGGCTTTCATGAAACTCACAGTACAAGTGAGAAAAAGATAAGAGAATATTTTGATTATTAATAGATGAATATGAAAAAAACTAATGCTCTGATATACCTTTTAAGTTTACCGGATATATCATTTGTAATCTTAAGCGAAAGAATATATTTATACACCAACGATGTTCACTTACTTCTGTGAGTGCATATACATTTCAAATTTTGCTATTCTTCTTGTTTTTTCTTCTTCTTTTTCTTCCTTTTCTTCCTTTTCTTCTTTTTCTTCTTCTGTTTCTTTTTCTTCTTCTTCTTGTTTTTTCTTCTTGTTTTTCTTCTATTTCTTCTTCTTTTTGCTTCTTGTTTTTTTCTTCTTTTTCTTCCTTTTCTTCTTTTTTCTTCTTTTTTTCTTCTGCTTCTTCTTCTTGTTTTTTCTTCTTCTTTTTCTTCGTTTTCTTCGTTTTCTTCTTTTTCTTCTTCTGCTTCTTTTTCTTCTTCTTCTTGTTTTTTCTTCTTCTTTTTCTTCTATTTCTTCTTCTTTTTGCTTCTTGTTTTTCTTCTTTTTTTCCTTTTCTTCTTTTTTCTTCTGCTTCTTTTTCTTCTTCTGCTTCTTTTTCTTCTTCTTCTTGTTTTTTCTTCTTCTTTTTCTTCCTTTTCTTCTTCTTTTTGCTTCTTGTTTTTTCCTCTTTTCTTCTTTTTCTTCCTTTTCTTCTTTTTCTTCTTCTGCTTCTTTTTCTTCTTCTTCTTGTTTTTTCTTCTTCTTTTTCTTCCTTTTCTTCTTCTTTTTGCTTCTTGTTTTTTCCTCTTTTCTTCTTTTTCTTCTTTTTCCTTCTTTTTTCTTCTGCTTCTTCTTCTTGTTTTTTCTTCTTCTTTTTCTTCCTTTTTCCTCTTTTCTTCTTTTTCTTCCTTTTCTTCTTTTTTCTTCTTCTTCTTCTTGTTTTTTCTTCTTCTTGTTTTTTCTTCGTTTTCTTCTTCTTTTTGCTTCTTGTTTTTCTTCTTTTTCTTCCTTTTCTTCTTTTTCCTTCTTTTTTCTTCTGCTTCTTCTTCTTGTTTTTCTTCTTCTTTTTCTTCCTTTTCTTCTTCTTTTTGCTTCTTGTTTTTTCTTCTTTTTTTCCTTTTCTTCTTTTTTTTCTGCTTCTTTTTCTCTTCTGCTTCTTTTTCTTCTTCTTGTTTTTGCTTCTTTTTTTCTTCCTTTTCTTCTTCTTTTTGCTTCTTGTTTTTTCCTCTTTTCTTCTTTTCTTCCTTTTCTTCTTTTTCTTCTTCTGCTTCTTTTTCTTCTTCTTGTTTTTGCTTCTTTTTTTCTTCCTTTTCTTCTTCTTTTTGCTTCTTGTTTTTTCCTCTTTTCTTCTTTTTCTTCCTTTTCTTCTTTTTTCTTCTTCTGCTTCTTTTTCTTCTTCTTCTTGTTTTTTCTTCTTTTTTTCTTCCTTTTCTTCTTCTTTTTGCTTCTTGTTTTTTCCTCTTTTCTTCTTTTTCTTCCTTTTCTTCTTTTTTTTGCTTCTTGTTTTTCCTCTTTTCTTCTTTTTCTTCCTTTTCTTCTTTTTTCTTCTTCTGCTTCTTTTTCTTCTTCTTCTTGTTTTTTCTTCTTTTTTTCTTCCTTTTCTTCTTCTTTTTGCTTCTTGTTTTTTCCTCTTTTCTTCTTTTTCTTCCTTTTCTTCTTTTTTCTTCTTCTGCTTCTTTTTCTTCTTCTTGTTTTTTCTTCTTCTTCCTTTTCTTCTTCTTTTTGCTTCTTGTTTTTTCCTCTTTTCTTCTTTTTTTTCTTTTTCCTTCTGCTTCTTCTTGTTGTTTTTTCTTCTTCTTTTTCTTCCTTTTTCCTCTTTTCTTCTTTTTCTTCCTTTTCTTCTTTTTTCTTCTTCTGCTTCTTTTTCTTCTTCTTCTTTTTCTTCTTTTTTTCTATTTCTTCTTCTTTTTGCTTCTTGTTTTTTCTTCTTTTTTCTTCTTCTGCTTCTTTTTCTTCTTCTTCTTGTTTTTTCTTTTTCTTTTTCTTCCTTTTCTTCTTCTTTTTGCTTCTTGTTTTTCTTCTTTTTCTTCCTTTTCTTCTTTTTCCTTCTTTTTCTTCTGCTTCTTCTTCTTCTTGTTTTTTCTTCTTCTTTTTCTTCCTTTTCTTCTTCTTTTTGCTTCTTGTTTTTTCTTGTTTTTTCTTCTTCTGCTTCTTTTTCTTCTTCTTCTTGTTTTTTCTTCTTCTATTTCTTCTTTTTGCTTCTTGTTTTTTCCTCTTTTCTTCTTTTTCTTCCTTTTCTTCTTTTTTCTTCTTCTGCTTCTTTTTCTTCTTTTTTCTATTTCTTCTTCTTTTTGCTTCGTCTTTTTTCTTCTTCTGCTTCTTTTTCTTCCTCTTCTTGTTTTTTTTCTTCGTTTTCTTCTTCTTTTTGCTTCTTGTTTTTTCTTGTTTTTCTTCCTTTTCTTCTTTTTTCTTCTTCTGCTTCTTTTTCTTCTTCTTCTTGTTTTTTCTTCTTCTTTTCCTTCCTTTTCTTCTTTTTCTATTTCTTCTTCTTTTTGCTTCTTGTTTTTCTTCATTTTCTTCCTTTTCTTCTTCTTTTTATTATTATTATTGTTGCTGTTGCCGTTCCTTTTGTGTTCTGTTTTTGTTTTGAACAGAACGAGTTACCCAGAAGTCACAAAAAGAAATTTCAAGAGACATATTTTTTGGAACCAGAAGATTCAAACAGATGTACTGTCATTCAATAAGATAGAAAAAAAACCCACATGTAATTGTCGTGACAGCATAGAGAAGAAAAAATAAACCTACGCAAGAGGCGAGAACTATCCACGAATATGACTTATTTACAATTCACATGTTTTACAGCGACTAAGAATTTGGTCCACATATTTATTTGCTTCTTTTTATATCAATCCCCCAAATTCCGAATAACAACAGTTATGTTGTCTTGAGACGTCACTATCTACTGATTTTTGGCGTTATCATTATTATTATTATTATTATTATTATTATTATTAGTGTTGTTGTTTTGTTTTGTTTTGTTTTATTATTTCCTTCGGTTTCTAGCGTGTACACATTTTTTCTGGGTCCCCACCAGAGACATCAGGTCGGAAATGGCATCAAGACATTTTTCATAGATCCTTCGTAAAGTGGAGGTTGTACTTGTGAGTACAATTTTTCGTATTTCTTTAAGGCACGGGCTACTATAGAGTCCTTCAATGAGTCTATTGGAATCTTTTCCAATCTATTCGAGGGCTCCAACTACAGCTGAAATTGTTAATATCCTCATGCTCTACATTTTAACATCCTTGTTTTTTGAAGAGCTTCAAAGATACATTGCTGTCTGGATGGACTGACATGTCAATAACGACGCATATTTTGCCTTTGAGGTGTCTAATCAGGATGTCAGGGCGATTAGCATCGACTGTTCTGTCTGTGTGTATTGTAAAGCCCCTTAAAATTGATACAAGTCTTATCTCCGTAACCGAGTGTTGATGGTTGTCATACCAATTTCTTGCAGTTCCATTTCTGTAAGTGTTGCATATTTCCCAGTGCAGACTGTAGCAAAGGAGTCAAATTCAATATGGAGTGTAAGGGACGCAACTCTTTCCGTAGGAAAATGTCTGACACGACGCAACGCAAAGCAATGTATAACGAACACGGGTGTAATGGCTTCTGCCAATTTCTCCAAGAGATCTGCTTTTATGGAGCCCAGAAACACCTCATTAGCATGCGCGTAACGCGACCTTGCGAGACTGCACGAGACCGTGAATATTAAAAAGTCACGGACGCCATCTTGGACCCTTTCTTTCTTTTCTCAACCCACAGGCCAGACAGACGCGAGGACGTTTGGGAGGTAAGCCCACTCTGTCGTACTCTGAGTTATATTCAGTACGTGC